AAGAGTAGCAGAAATTTATTTGAATGTAAGCTGATGATTAGATTCCTTCACTGAATTTAACCAGCTGTATGCTGTCTTGTAAAGACAGTATAAACAGAATACTGACAGTGTTTGGGATGGAGCTCAGGCAACATACCATGGGAAACATGTGCTTACATCTAGCTGAATTCAGCTGTGCAAATCCACAAAAAGCAGCAGCATAACTGCAAAAAAACCTACTGGAGCTCGCATTAGAAATGATTGTGAGTTGTGATCCTTCCCCATGCTGACCCACTAAAACTGCTCTCTCCCCACCTGTTCCCCACCTTCATCCCTGGCTGTAATAATTTTTCTGGCTCCCTCCGGGTATTCTGGCTTCCTCCCACCGTCCAAAGACATGCAGTTTGTGGGGATAGGTTAACTGATTAATCCAAATTGTCTATAGGTATGAAGGCGGGAGTGTGAGTGTGAATGGTTGTCTGTCTCTGTGTGTTAGCCATGCAACAGACTGGTGACCTGTCCAGGGTGTACCCGCCTCTTGCCCTATGACAGCTGGGATAGGCTCCAGTGAAAAGGATAAGCGGAAGCGAATGGATGGATATTATTTTATTATGTTACAGCATGAGGTTCAGTTAGCTTTGCACAAAGTTCTACAAAAGGCTACTTTTTACTTTCTTACTTTCAGTACATTTCAGAGCCTGAACTTCTTTTTTTTTTACTTTTATTTGAGTAAATAAGTTGAATGAGTACTTCAGTACTATGACTGGAGTATTTTTCTTAACACAAGTATCTGTATTTTTGCCAAAGTGAAGAACGCCCGTGTCACCTCTCGTGTCAACAACAAACCACTTGTTTTCAACAACAACCTAAAGTTGCAGATATCATAACACTTCCTTCCTGCTTTTTTTTTTTTTTTTTTTAGATTTAGAGATGGATTAATTTAGTGTCAGTAGAAAAAGAGTAAGGTATACTTAAGTTATACCTACATAGCTTATATATTTTGATATAACAAAAATATCTTGGCATCAGAAACTAATATCTCCAAGCAGAAATAACTTCCAGGGGTTTGCATTACTGTCAACTATTAAGTTTAGTTCAACATTATTTATAGTGAACCAATTCGGCAGTCTTCAGGGAACTTTATGCTCCAAGCTAAACATAGTATACAGAGGAATACCCTCTATTCTCTTCCCTGGGTGGACGGGGGGAGCAGAAGCTAAACAAAATATCTATGGAGAAACAGCAAACATTACCAGATTAGAAAATGCACAAACTGTGCAAGGGACGAGAACCAAAGCTAAATTGTGTCATTTGCAAATAATATTCTCTAAAATTGGTTTGCTTTGACTCCATCAACCAATACAAATTATTTGAAAGGCAAGATATTTAGCTGTTTGAAGATTTTTCTTGCAAA